AGGTGCATTGAAACCTTGACTGGGTCCTTTCCTCCCCTTTCCTACTTCTCCAATTCTGGGTAGGGATTTCCAGTATCAATTTTTAACAACCACTTTCCCACTAATCCTTGTGACAGAATCTGCTTCCAGTGAGGTGACAAAGTGTCTTTGAGGTATGAAGTCATTGAAGCAGCTCTTCAATTTTCATACATTGGATTTTCACATTGCTACCCTTGAACTGACAAATGGAATTCAGATATCCACTGTAGTATGGTCATCTTTTATAGCCGTGTTTGTGCAATTATGTTAGGTTTTATTGCAGTGTGCCCTATTGTTTTATAAAGATGATTGGGAAGTGTAACAATGGTGCTGATAGTAGCATCATCTGAGTCAAAGATGAATCTGGTGCTGAAAGCTGAGAATGGTGAATGTTGACACGTTGCAGAGATTGAAGCGGGTCTTGTGAAGAACCAGTACCAAATTAAAGAACTTATAGGGAATTCTAGAGATAGATCTTCCAGAAAAGTATTAAAAATGGGGCTCCTCAAAGTATCCTTTGGAGAGGGCTTTAAAAGTACAGAAATTATGAATATCAGCACCAAAAATTCCAGATTCCCCAAAGCAGTGAAGTTTCTGGAAGCAAAAAGCAGTTCTCAGGGATGAACTTCCTTTGGGCTCTTTCATTGAGAGGAGGAATAGTTTCATACTCAAGTTTCACTTGAGAAGTATTTGGGGAAAAATTTAAAAATTCTACCAAAGCCACCCTTACTGTCTGTCTCACTTTGCAGTCCCTACTCAGTCTCTTGTAAAGTCACCACCAGCCAGATGTCCTCCTGCATTTTAAGATAAATTTGCTCTCTTTACTAAGTGCTGTTTTAAATAAGCTGAAAAAATTAGGTTTTCAAGACAAAGAACTCATACAAGGTCATGAATTCTATTTGCATTTCGCATCCAAACCAATTGCTAATAATAATCATTATTGTAGAATTTTAAATTTTATGAATGCTTATGGATTCATTTCTTGGAAAACAACCTTTCCATATCACATTTAGGGATGAGTTTTTTAAAGTTTTTGTTTTATTTTTAGGCTGTATTATGCATGACAGAAGAGATCCCATGTTGTGATGGAAAGAGACAGAGATCAGAGCTCTGCCACTGATGTAACCTGCGTAAGCCAGTCTTCCCAGGTCTCAGTTTACTCAGTGACAGGGCTTCCTGCTCAAGGCTGTGGTGAGGATTAAGGTAAGTGTATAAGGCACAGTTGGCACTCATCTGATCTTGGTTCCCTTTGGTGGTAGGAGTCACACACACAGTTGGTTTGAAGAATCTGCCAACATGTTAGCTACCATGGCCTGAAAACAAACCCAAAGACAAAATGAAGACAAACTCAGCCTAACACAGAAGGCCCTATATAATCAGATCTTCATGTATCTCTCAACCTAAACACACTCTGCTTCCAAAGGAGCACATGGAACACCTCCTGAAAAGTGCCAACTCTTCTCCCCTGCAAAATGTTCTCCTTAGGACTCAGCTCAAAGGAATCCTTTCAGACCACCACAGTACCCACCTCCTCCAATCTGGGAAAAGYGTCTTTCCCACACAGTCTTGCAGGAGCCTGAGTCTCCTAACATGATACTCATCACATAGTTTTATAAATCATGTCAGTGTCAATCTCCTCTGCTAGACTTTAACTTCCTCAAATAAGGATGTCATTTTATATCTGCAGGCTCTGCACTGGCAGAGTCAACTAAATAAGAACTGAAAATATGGAGGGAAAATGCATTTGTACAGAACATGTAAATATTTTCCTTATCATTGTTCCCTAAATGACAACAATTTACATAGTATTGGGTACTATAGGTAACCCAGAGATTAATTAAAATACATGAAAGAATGTGAGCATGTGCAAATACTGTGCTGTTTATTTTGGGACAGAAGCATCTGAGAATTTTGGAATTCACAGGGTCCTGGAATCAATCCCTCTAGGGAAATCCAATGATGAATGTATATCTTCTCTGGGTATGTATACCATTGCCTCTTCCAAGATCTTTACATATGGAACTTTTTTATTGCAATAGCACTATGAGATTCATATCATCATTAGCCCATAACAATTAGGAGAGAAAAGTGGGAGAAAAAGAAAATGCAAATAATTCTCCCATGTTCAAATGTCTGTCAAAACCAGCTGGCTCTGTGACCTCCATACCATAACTCTCTCTCTCTAATCCTGGATCCAGAATGTGAGGCCTGAAGGTAGTCAGTCAATCAACTAAGGAGGAGGAAGTTATTCAATACTGGGGAAGAAAATGAGATCTGGGAAGGAATACATGTAGATTGAGACTCAAACTTACACCATCTTATTTGTTCAAAAGATGGCAAAGAGCCAGCTAATAAAACCTAGAGTTTGGAAGAACCTGTTACCTCTAATAATCATGAGTTGATTCTGGAGTAATGGTACATGCATTACCTTGGGAAGCAGGCACTTGAATTGCAGTGTCTTAATAGATGATCTGCCTCTTGCAATACCTCAATTGTCTCACATAATTTGAATTGTCAACCTGATTGGATTAAGAGATGCTGATGATTAAGAGGCTTCAGGGTGGGTTAATGAGGGTGTGACTAGAAATGATTGGCATGTGAGATAGCCAACTGAAATGGAGACACTCCCTAAGCATGGGCAGCACCATCCAATAGGATGATGGCTTGGATGGAATAAAAGTTGGAAAAACAAGGAAGCAGCAGCAGATGCAAGCTTGATTCTTCTTGAACAGGTTCTTGATTGCTGCTGCGATTGTCTGAGGATTTTGGACTCTCACTTCTTCACTCTTCCAAAGTAGACTCTACCAGTGATTCTCCAGGGAGTTTCGAGAAGCCTTTGGTTTCAGACTAGGGTAGCACCAATGATCCCTCTTGCTCTGAGGCTTAGGCTTCTTGGACTGTGTAGCTATTGTCTCCAGCCTGCAAACAGCCATTGTGGACTAACCAGCTTCTGGTTGTGTAAGCCAACCTAATAAATCCCCCTTTTATAAGCATACTTCCTGTTGATTCTGTTCCTCTAGAGAACCCTGATTAATACAGTCTCATCGACAAAAATAACAGCAATCATGAAGTGGGCCTTTGAAGCTCTTGCAACCTTTAATGGTCTGTGATCCTGGAGAGAATTTGTGTTTACTGTTCTATTGCCTGTCAATGGTCATCTGCTAAGCACCTCTATCTCAATAAAAATATCAATACAGACTTGTCAGAATTTTGATGGAAAATTTGCAGAGGCTTTACCAAATCAAATCAAGACTTTTCAGCCCCTTCTCCAGATTTTATACATCAAAAGATTAAATCACACCACAGCCTGGATACCACCTTCCCTGATGTATTCCCCCTTTACCAAAAGCAAAAAGCCATGTTCTTACTTTAGGATGCACTTCTTAGGGCCTGGCCCAGGTTTTTTTTTTTTCATTCTTGGATTTTCAAGCTGATTTTACTTTTGGTATTGTAATTTGCCTCTTTATATATACCCCACCCTGCCAGACCAAGAATGCTTCCCAAGGAGGACAGAGCTTGATTTTCTCCTTGTAGCCATAGCTCCAATGACAGGCCTACACAAGTACATAGGAAATCTGTGCAGTAAATCTCCCAGCCTCTCTTACAGACAGGGATGTAATTTCAGCCTTTCATGCTGAAGCATTATTCATTGAATAAACTTTTTCTCATACTGGGGATTGAACCTAGGGCATCCCACATACCAGGCAAGCCCTCCACCATAGAGCTGTATACTCGTAACTCCAGTCCATCAATTTTCATATGAACATAAAATAGTGTTTATCTCACAAGACCTCAGTCCGTAAGGAAAGAAAATAAATAATCATTGAAAATCAATCATAAATGAATAATAATTTATGGCTCGGTGGAGTCTTGTGCATCAGAAAAAATAAGATCAAGGCAAAACTACAAGGGGAATAAGACTCCACTGGGACTTCTGTTCCAGCAGAAGGGAGACTCAGCACCAATCAAGAGAGTGTCAAGTGGCTTTCCAAAGAACATAGTTTTATTCCTCTGAAAGGGTGGCAGAGGTAGGTTAGAGTTTTAAAATGTTAATTRGCTTTAGATACATTTTAAAAGGTGTTTTTCTTTTCCTGTGGGAGCACTGTAACCCTGAGGAAGGCAGGGTCAGTCAGTCATCCTGTTGCCAAATATTATATGTCCCATATTGTTGCTACACCTATTTAAACATTTCTGCCTTGTGATAAGGATGAAGTCTTGTAGTTATTAGAAGAACACATAGGTTAAGAGTAGAAGGTGGCTCAAATCATGGCAAGTAATTAATATATGTGGAGGGTCTTGGAAATTTGCTGTTTTCCTGGCTGCTCAACAATTTTATCCTTTAGGTTGGTTGTCCCTGGAGAGTCATGTGACAGTATCCTGACTTTAATGACACATTTGGTTTCTGAGGCCCATAAGACTATTTGAATGTGTGTGAGACCAGAGATGTTGAAAATAAATCAGGATCTGGATTTGTTCCCCCAGTGTTAAAGATTGAACACCTGAGAAATGCCAAGGCTAGAGCAAAAAGTTTTATTTTAAGTATAGAACAGAGAGACAGACAAAGACTCCTCTGAAGAGAAGGGGATCCAAGTTGGTGCCTGAGGGAGTGGGTGTGTCCTACTCCTTTTATTCTTTCTTCTTATGCCCCTCCTCCTCTTATTTTGCCTATGTGGAAAAAGGTGAGAAAAGAGCAGGTGCTTCTCATACCTGCCCAGAAAAGGCAAAAGGGAGCTGCCAAGGAGGTACTTTATTAACAACTCCTTATTGGGGGAAAAAAAATCCCTGAAGGCAGGTAATCTTGGCAACATGGCAACAGGTTGGAGGAGGAGGAAGTACTCTGGAAGTGTTAGCATTTTATTTCCTCTTGAATCAGCCCTCATCCTCTTGACCCAATAATTTCCCAGACTGACTGTCCTTTTTCCCACCCCCCACCTTAATCCCTCCCATCTGAGAAGGGAACTCCATACTGCTCATAAGGAAAAATGGGCGTTGACCGCTCTGGCTGCTTCAAGCTGAGATGGGGCGATGGTGGGCAAGCAGTTTGGGTTTCCCTTTTAGGAATATTTTTGGGTCAGTCGAGAAGTCCATGTCAAAAGTCTGGTTTGGAAGAAGAAGATTGTAAAGTCATCTGGGAAGTGGGAACTTCTATGAGAGAAACAAGAAGATATGAGTACTGGAATAAGATTAATACAACTATAAATGCTGCAGCATGTGAACATGCCAATGAATATGATGATGAGGAGAGAAATCAGTAACCTTTCACCATGAGGTGCAAGAACTAAGAAGTTTTTCCCATAACAAGGTCAGTGAGGACATGGCCTCTATTTGGGAATGTAAATCTTTTATGATATGAGCTTCATTGTCAGAGTTATCAGGAATGTAAACATACACTTAGTTTTTGTAATGTTGCAGATACCCCTATAAAATATACTTAAAATATCCAATGTCATCTGATTTTGTAAAATATCATCCTATTGGCATAACCTCTCTGTTTAGTAGAGATCACTTTATCTCTGTTACTTAGGGCTATTATAATCATACTAGCAAACATAGATTAAGCCTACCTATGTATGAGGTTAGGAAGATTTGTAGGCCTTAAATTGACAACTGACTTTATAAAAACCTGATTCTGRTATCTCTTTTGATAGTTATCAGGCACTCCTAAGAATCCCTCTTTTGTAGCCTCCAGTCATATTCTTGGTGGGGCTAACACAAGTGTACATCTTAAGTTATATTAAAAGAACTATTCTCTTTTAAGTGCCCAGCTATTGCTGTACTTTATTATAACTTGTTTTTCTAGGTGTTTAAGACCAAGATGGTCAACAGAAAATAGTTATAAAGTTCCTATCTATGGTTTAGAGTCAGCTGAGGGCTGGGTATGATATAGCTCAGTGATAGAGTACTTGTCTAGCATGTGTGAGGCACTGTGTTTGATCCTTAGCACCACATAAAAATAAATAAATAAATGTGTTGTGTCCTTCTGCAACTTTAAAAAGAAATTTAAAATAGTCATCTGAGTTCCCTTAGGAGGTCACTCTTGGGAATTTGAGAGCAGCCTCTTAGCTCATTTAGTGCCATCTGCCACAATGGGTCAGGGTCTTGTTGACTAGGTGGCTTCCCTGGGAAGCATCAGGGATGTCTCCTTCTCCGATAACACTTCTCTGCGGTATGTGCACTGGCTGGCTTTGGTCTCATTGATCTCCTTGATCAGGAGGGTCATGTGGCCCAGAGTTGCAAAGCCCTTAGAGAGGTACCCTTGTTCCCTAGGTTCAAGTTGACCTCAGGTGCTAAGAGCACTTTTACTTCTTAACTTTAGTCTCCAAATTTTGGTCTCAAATATCTGGCAAGCCAGTTTCACCAGTMTTGAAGTAAGAGTACTGGGTTTTAACATTAATGTCTATAAATTTAAAGCTAATTACTCTTTCATTTAACTGGGGGTTAGTATTATTTCTGGAAGTCAGCCTTACATTTTGACTGTCCTTTAGGTGATAGCCTATTACCTCAAATTAATTCAAGTTGTTATATTAGAAGTTATACTTCTATAAAATACTAAAGACAATAGTTATAAAGTTGACAAGAAAAATAAAATGCAAAATTAACAAGAATAAAAACATAGTTTGTATAATAGCTATGACCAGGAAACATAATTTTTATAACCCCAAACTTTAAACTTTAGTTTAAAGAACACCAGCTTGGAAAAAAATATTTTTCTAACCTTATATTTTAAATATTTGTATACTTGAAAGATAGGAATATATCTATTACCAAGAAGCCAGTAACATCACCACAATTACACTGATATTCTTATATTAACCAAGTTTAGCTTTTAAAGAAAATTTTAGATTCTGTAATGTAGTATAATACTCTAAAATAACAGTTGTTTAACTAGAGTTGTTTGAATGCTAATTATTTAAGGCTAGTTTCTCTAAACAATAAAACTTAACTGATACAGGAAATCATTTAGATAAGAACAGATTTATGTTTTTAGAGCCCCCAACTGAAACCAGTCTTGAAAATCAAGATCAGGTCCTATTTACCCAATGATGCAGATTATGCATCAAGAAACACTGAGGCAAGAGCAAAAACTTTTATTTAAAGAACAGAACACACACACACACACACACACACACACACAGGGAGTACCCTAGAGAGGAGGAGGTCCAGAGCTGTACCCAAGGGAGTAGGGGTTCCTGCACCTTTTGTAGACTTTAGGTTTTCTTTCTTCATATTTCCCCCTTTTCTATTCATGCCTATGTGGCCAAAAGGTGAGAAGGGAGCTTTGGGGGCTACCTCTCCCTGTTTTCCATATCTTCATAGAAGGCAAGAAGCTGAGCCATACAAGGGTGCTCATTAACAACTCCTTGCTGGGAGGAACAATTTCCTGGAGGCAAGTAGCCTTGGCAACAAGTTGGAAGAGGGTTAAGTGTTCTGAAGGTATTAGTGTTTTATTTCCTTTTGAATCAGCTCCCATCTTCCTGACATGATCATTTATTATCTACACTGACTTTTTACCCTGGTCTCAATGCCATCAGCCCCGATCTATTTTTAATCAATTTAATTTTCCTGCCCAGGCATGGTGGCACACACCTGTAAACCCAGTGTCTTGAGAGACTGAGGCAAAATGATCACAAGTTCAAAGCCAGTCTCAGCAACTTAGTGAGATGCTGTCTCAAAATAAAAAGGGCTGGGGATGTAGCTCAGTGCCCCTGGGTTCAATCAAACATCTGTGCAGTTGTTGCATCTCAGTACAGACTTCTCAGTCATCAGTGGTAGGAGTTCTAGAGTGAAATTGATGTCACCTGGCTCACAGACCTCTGTAATCACTTCCAGAGAAGCCACAAGTGTTTGGCCATTTTCAACTCCAATTGGGATGGGAAAATGGTTTCTACCCCTCACCAAGACTTATGGTGGGAAGAATCTGCCAAAGATGGAGGATTTCAGAAGCTGAGTGGCCAATACAATGACAAATGTTAGTACCATAGTGTAAAGGTCGGGCGAGCGTCAGAGGAAGAGACCACCAAGAGACTATCTCATGCAACAGCAAGGGGTTTATTGGGGGTCCAGCATGCTGGGGCTCAGAGCTCACTTGAATAGAGAAAATAGCCCCGAGTACAGCTTAAGCAGAGCTTATATACTTTCCTTGGAGAGGGCAGGGAGGGAAGTTCATTGACGGGTCAGGGTGAGTGGGCAGTTTGCATGCAACCAGGTAAGGGAGTACATTGTGCAGTTTGGCAGTTGGGGACAGCACATTCTGGGAACAAGATTAGCAAACAGTTCTCAAGATTATTAACCTTTCAATAGAAACCCAGTTATTTTCTCATAACATGCAGCCCCCAAGGGGGGGCAGTAGAGGGATAGGACAGGGACTCAACAATGTCACAAGTTGTGTCTGAGTAGCATGATTTGTTGCCTAAATGGTCCCAGGTGGTACTCCAGCCAGCAGGTGTAATTACAAGACAAAAAGAAGGGGGGCAGGGCTCTGCCAAATGCATCATCTTTACTTTTATTGAAAAGGCAAAAGCTTTTTCAGAAATACTCAACAGACATTTGCATATGTCTCATTAACAAGAATTGTATCATAAAGCCCACCCCAGAAATAAGGAAAACTGGGAAGATTGCTACCTCTTTCCCCAAACTGGAACTGTGTTATAAAAAAGAAGTGGAGATAGGATAAGCAATGAGCATTGTCTGCGTCAATTAGCACTGGGCCTGAAATAGGAATTAGAATCACCAAACTTCTCCCCATGCCATCTCCCCAGAGGCCATGTTATATTGTCTCTGTATTGGCCTTCTTTCTGTTGCTCTAACAAAATACCCAAGATGAGGTTTATTTAGTGAAGAGTCCAAGATTTTGCAGCCCCTGTGATTGACCTTTGGTGAGGGTCATATAAATCGGTAAGTGGTATCATGGTGGCAGGACATGCAAAGGGTAGAGATAGAAACTGGGGAGAGACCAGTCTTGCTCATTTTATAACAACCCACTCTCACAGGAACAAATGGGGGCCCATGAGAAGTACATTACTCCTTTATGAGAACATCATCCCCAGTGACCATATTACCTCTTAGTAGGCCCCACCCCTCAAGGTCTAACACCTCAACACTGCCACACTGAGGACCAAGCTTATGGCCTATGAACCTTTGGGGGAAAAACCACATCCACATCATCACAAGCTCCAACAAAGCCAATGTTGTATGAACCAGATGTCCCAGTCTACAACATGTGTGTATGTCTGGGTGGGGGATGGTTGCTCTCAGAAGTCTCTGGAAGCAGCCAGAGCCCACATTCTGAAACCTCTGTGAGGTCACACTTGATACTTCTTTCCTTCCCTGCTGTAGTCACGGCACTCTGGGTGCTAACCCAGAAGAGATAACTGGTGGTTCTTATTTCTCTGAGAACATGAGGCCTACCTAACCACACCATCTCAAAGGATGTCATGTCCCCACCCAACATCTGCTTGGATATTTCTGGTTTTTCCCAAGCCTCTTTGCTGCTTTCAATGTAGCACTGCTGGTCAATTTTCAGTGACCTCTTCTTCACTTTTCTGTGTATCTCCCATGCAAGCTGTCAGGTTTCTTACAAAGAGATAGAGGGAAAATAGAAAATGATGGTGCAGAGGCAGGGAAGTGGAGAGAGAGGATCAGGAGGGGAAAGAAGGATATAAAGTTAGAGGGAACCTGATGTGTAAGCACAGAGGTGTAGAGAATCTGATGCATTTAGGAAACTGAAGGTGGCTGATAATGCTGGTGACATTTGGTGGTGTCTCTGTGGTCTGTCCCTAGTCTGGATATTTAGATCTGTCCTTAAGGTCTGTGAGTCTACCTCTGGTGAGCTAGGCCTCATGGGGAACTCTGGGTTGCTCCAGAATAGAACCGAGTCTGGCTGTGTTTTCAGTTGCAGGTGGTTGGCTGAGAATGGGGAGTGGGACTTTCCTGTGGTTATGGGTTTTCTCTTTGTCCTTACCTCTGCTGTCAAATTTTTCTGAATTTCTCAGACCCTAGTATCTTGCATCAAGGCAAGGCCTCAGACCCTGGGAGAGGGAAGTGGCACCCCAAGGGCTGATTCCTACAGGGGTGATTTCTAAAGTGCTAACCCCAACTGTGGCCTCAGGATCCCTTCTCTCCATGTCATCATTACTTAGACCYTTGCATTTCATTTCCCAAGCCACTGAGGTGAGAAGAAACAGAATCTTGGAGGTTTTCCAATTAATTTAGAAGGGAGGGTAAGAACAGCAGACTCTTCCAAACCACGCAGTTCACTCTTCCTCCTCCTCATTTTTCACATGACTCCAAGCAATAATCACTATTACAAAGGGTGACACTCTAGAGAGAGGTCTTCTGACTGGAAACCCCCTTCCCTTTGACTGCTGCCCATCTGAGTTTGCTCAATAGGGACTGGGATTCCCCTCCCCACCTCCTCCCCACTTTCTTGTTTCCCAGTGATGCCATGGGGCTGTCCCAAGCAGAAGAGTGTTAGAAGGGCCTCCTGCCACTGCCCAAACCTCTTCCATGCCAGGCCTCTTTCAAACATGACCCTAACACACAATATGTGACATGGATGTATTACAGGACCTTCCAAATGCAGTGGTGCCAAAAGTGCTGCTTCCATCACCAGCCCTAGGCATTCCATTATCCCTCATGCAACATCTGTGTGGAGTACTCCTCCTTCCTGTCCACTCACTAACCCATCACTGGACACCTGGCTAGAACCAGGAAACTCACATCATAAGTGGACCAGGGATGGGTATAAGACCATCTTCCAGGACTGCTAAAAGAGGCTCTCAGTCATACTTGGTCACATAAATATGTCATCGCTTCTGTCTTTATGAGTCCTGAGAAGCTGGCCTTGCTTGCACAGGTGCTGACAAAGGGCATCACATCTGTGCTGATCCTGGTGGAATCAGGGAGAGGAAAGGCAGTGCCTGTCCCATCTCCTGGCTTGCAGATATTAAAAACCCAGACATTTAGGCGGCGGCTGCCCTCTTCTGGGGATCTTTGTCTGTCTTCCTCTGAATGTCTGAGTTGGAGGGTTTCCTGAGTTCTGCTCATCTTTCATATACACACCCTGCATGGGTTTACAAGTGCTGGCTGGGCAACGGTGGTGTTCTCATCCTTATCCAGTATCTGAGAAAATACAGCCCCAGAGTTATTCTATATCCTGCTCTAAAGATCTCATGACAGGTGACCTGATGAGCCATGGAGTCCTATGTTCTAACAATGGAAATGCCAGTTTCTCCCTGGAGATGGGAGTCTGTGTGTAGGGCCAAGAGCCTGTGGCCTAGAAGGCTGGGATGGGGGAGGCCTTAGGATTTGGGGATGATGGAGGCCAGGCTAGATATATCCTCAAGGCCTGCCACCTTTCCCCTAAGACTTTGACCACCATTGCAAGTGGGTCAATAACTGCATTAGTCATCGCAACTTCCATATCTTCCTGCTGCTTGTGTTCCTTTGCCTCTTCCTGGGTGCCCTGATGGTTACCTGTGTGATATTCCTTGTGAGAAGGGCATGAAACACATGCCCTTCTCCATGGACAAAGGCAAAGTCATATCCACAGAGTCCCAAGGGCCCACACTAGGACGAGCATGGGCAGTGGGGAAGAAGGGGTGGACAGTCAAGGGGCAGGGTAACCGAGGGCAGCGCTTACAAGGATGGGCTAAGGGGAGAAGCCACTTGGGAGGATCTGTGCAGAACATTTTGAAGGAGAGGGGGGTTAGGGAGATAGGCGGGCTAGGATGGACTGTGGAGTTAAGAATCTAGCAAGGCCAAGAARCAGGGTAACGAAGGTTGAAAAGGAACAGGCAGGACAACAGCATGGTGAAGTGAGGCTGTACTTGGGGGAACTGGACTAACAATCCAGTCCAGGGAGGAAAAGTAGGTGGGTGGGCTAGCTGGGGCAGAGCCAGGGAGGGTGGAAATGTGTCAAGGGGTGAGGCCAGTGAGGAACTGTCCTGTGGCCTGGCTTCTTAGCCCACATACAGCTTCGAAGTGGGTGTGCCACCACAGGCCTCCTGCTGCTGCTTATCCTGCTACTGCTGATCCAGGCCTTGGCAGTGAGCATGCCAGGTGCCCCTACAAGGGCCAGGCAAGTGGGCGAGTGTGTGTGCCATGATACCCAGTTGTGTGGAGGCATCTTGCACATCTGAGACTCAGCACTTTCTGTGCTTTCTCTACTGCTCTTGGCCTTAATGGTGCCTTGTGAGTCCTTCCAGAACCACCTTTTAAGATGCAGCTCAKATCTCTCCTCCCCCTAGAGCTCTGTGCTCATTCTCCCTCCTGGGTGCATTGCTTCCAGAGCTTACTGTGTACTAGGCTGCAGGTTATTTGAGGGATGGGTATAGAAGTGAGGACTTCCTGCATTTGAGTTGATAAGCAACCTGCAATCAGAGTAATACTGGCAGAAACCCAGGAACACTCTGAGAGGGGTGTAAATCTTGAATCGAGGACCAGATTGGAAGCAGCACAGTTTGGCAAGGCTCGCATTGCAGAGGGAGATATGCCACTCTACCTGTCCTAGGTGTGATTTTGAGAGACAGCAGGCATTTTCTATGAAAGGCACACCTTGGCAAAAGGGCACGATAACCTGTTAACAGAATGATGAAGAAGCAGCTCTAAAGGTGGCATGGGCAATGAAGTTGGCCCCATGGGGGAGGTAGGGGTCAAGATTAAAAAGGCTCAGAAAATTAAGCATGAAATTTAGTTTTGATGAGATGAAAAAGAAGGGAGCCAGGATAGGATTTTTTTAAGTCGTTTATTGAGGAATAATTTACAAATAGTAAAATTCACCCTTTTTAGTCTAGTTAGGGAATTTGACAAATGGTTACTGTCCTGCATTCTCTACCATGGTCAAGGTTAGACCAGTTTCATTCCCCCAGAAAATCCTTTCATCATCATTTATTGTCAATWTCTCTCCCTACATTTTTCTGCTTTTCGTTTTCCAGAATCACATATAAATGGAGTCATGGCCTTTTTCATCTGGCTTCATTCATTTAGCACAATGCATTTGAGATTCATYCATGTTGTTGCTCATATCAGTAGTTTATTTCCTTATATAGCTTTATAGTATTGTGTGCATGCCCTTTTATACATTCACCAATGGAAGGATTTTTACATTGTATCTRGTTTTGGGCAGCATTTTGTTGGTTTAGTTTTGTGTACCAGGGATTAAACTCATGRATGCTTAACCAATGAGCTACATTCCCAGCCCCTTTGCTCTGTTTAAAAATTTTTAATATTTATTTTGAGGTAGGATCTCACTAAGTTGCTTAGGGCCTCACTAATTTAATGAGGCTTGGCTTTAAACTTACAATCCTCCTGTCTCAGCCTCCCAAGGTACTGGGATGGGCCACTGTGCCCAGCTAGTTTGGGGAAGTTATACATAAAGCTACTACATACATTAATGCACAGGCATGTGAACGTAAGTTTTCATTTCTGTGGGGTAAATTTTTAGGGATGGCATTGCTGAGTCTTAAGGTAACTGTGTGTAGAACTYTATAGAAAATTACCAAATTTGTCTACTAAAACAACTGTACCATTTTTAAATTCTACCAGCAATGTATGAGAATTTCAGTTGCTCCACATCCTCACCAACACTTGACACTGTTATTTGTTATTTTTTTGTGTTTTAATTGAAGCCTGTCTAATAAATGAATAGTGGTATCTCCTTAAGGCTCCAGTTTGTGTTTTCCTAATGAGTAATGATGTTGAGCATATTTTCATGTCTTATTGGTCATTGGTAGGTCTTTGGTAAAAAGTGTTTGCTCAATTCTTTTTTCCCACTAAAAATTGATTACTTTTTATTGAGTTTTTTGAGAGTTCTCTATACCGGATTCAGATCTATGTTTTGCAAATCTTTTTTTTTTCAATCTGTGCCTTGTCATTTCATTTTCTTCATAGCAACATCCCAAGAGCAGGAGTTGTTTTTCTAGTACTGGGGTGCTCTACCACTGAGTTTGTCCCCCAGCATTTTTTGTGGTTGTTCATTCTACATAGAAAATTATGTCATCTGTGAAGAACAGTTTCATTACTTTCTTTCCAATCTTTTTTTCTTTTTAGTGTTGAATAGGAAAGATAGGAGTGGGCATCTTTGCCATGAGATTCCTTTAGTCTAGCTTTAGTAAGGCTCTTTCAGGAATACTGGTGGGCAGCATCAGTGGGGGAGAGGATGCTGCAGACCCCAAGACAGCTGAACAGACAGAGGAGCCTCTCTGCTCACCACCTCCCATCCTTTTAGTCACCAGCCCACCACTGCCATATGTGGTTCCCCTCCCACCTGTGACTCCTGTGCTTGGCCCTTATTCATCAGCCCTGTGGTCTGCCTGTCTTCTACTCTCTACAGCTTCACTCCATCATTGAGTGTGGCAGCCTTTTCCCTTCCTCTAACCTGTGGTTCTTCCAGCCCCAGGTCAGCCATTACCCTTCCTCTTCTGCTCAGAGTGAGGCCCTCCAAGTCCAGTATCACCAGTCTCAAGGGACTAAATGTGGTCTGCACTCTAAGATTCACCAGACAGGGCTCCTTTCCTTACCTGCAGCACCCATTTCAGGCACTGATCCCATGCTCCAACTTTTATGTCCTCCCCACTCTGTTTCCTGACTGCAACTCCTCCTGGAGTCACTTGCTTGTTGGTTGGTGGCAAGGACTCTGGAGCCAGACCTCATAAGTCCAAATCACAGCTCTACAGCATACCAGCAGGGAGACCTTGGGTATGCTACTTAGCCACCTGGTCACTCAGTTCCCTATCTGTAAAACAGGGATGTGAGGATTAATCCATTTAAGACACATAAAACAGTGGCTGGGGCCATAAAGTGACCTATATGCTGCTATTCCTATTACTACCATTCCTTCCTGTGATCATTTACACGTTTGTGCCTCATCCTTAAAAGTCAAGCAAATTCCCTTTTTTAAGGTTCCTGGCCTCCACCCCATCTGTTGTGCCTTATTCCCTGAAAGAGCTAACTATGCTCACTAGCCCCACCCTCCACTTCCTGGCCCACAGTAGACCAGCTCCTGCTCTTACTACCACAATGATGCTCTCATCAATGGCCAAAGCCAGCAGACATTCTTCAGACTTCTTTCTGAACTGTACACAGCCTCTGGAACCAGAAGAAGCTGGAATAGCATGTCTTAGCACTTAACTCACTGGGCTTCTCTCTGCATGAACATGTGTGCTGTAGGCAGGATTGCCTACACTTTTCCCGTGATACCCTCTCTCTGCACTACCCTCCCCATAGTGCTAAGGGCCTTATAATACAGCTGCCTTCACCACCCTGAAAGTAGGGGTGTGCTGTTTGCAGTGTGTTTTCAATCCCAAGTGCAGTGACTGGACTTTGTTTTTTCACTACTGGGTATTGAATCCAGGGGCATTTTACCACTGAGCTACATCCCCAGTCTCTGCTATTTTTTTAAACAGGGTCTCACGAAGTTGCTAAAGCTGGTCTTGAACTTGCCTTCCTCCTGCCTCAATCTCCTGAGTCACTGGGATTACAGGCATGAACCACCATGCTCAGCTTGACTGAGGCATTTTTGATGCCCTAAAATAATTCTGGCTGGGGATGCCTCTGAGTGGTAGAGCATGTGCTTAGCATGTACAAGGCCCTGGGCTCTTCAATCTCCAGCACACAGAGAAATCTGAATAAATGAGTGAACCAACAAACAAAAGAATCAAAATTTGAGAAATAAGACATAATGAACAGAGAATCCTGATGTCCTGATTCCCCCAAGATAAGGAGAAGCAGCAGGAAGTTGGTAGAAGAYTGGGCAAAATGAATGTTTAAAGAAATTGTGGTATATATACACATGGAATGTTACTCAGCCATAAAGAAGAATGAAGTTGTGGCATTTTCTGGTAAATAGATGGAGCTGGAGAATATCATGCTAAGCAAAATAAACCAATTCCAAAAAAAACAAAAACAAAAAAAAAACAAAGGCTGAATGTTTTCTCTAATAGGCAAATGCTAATTCACAAAACTGGGAGGCTAAGAAAGAAAAGATCTCTGGATTAAGCATAGGAGAGAGAAGAGAAGGTGGGGGTATGGGGGTAGAAAGGATAGAAGAATKAATCAAGCATTATTCCCCTATATACATATATGAGTACATGACCAGTGTGATTCTATATCATGTACAATCAGAAAATGGGAAGTTATACTCCATTTATGTATGATTGTGTCAAAATGCACTCTATTGTTATGTAAAACAAATTAGAACAAATACAAAATTTTAAAAATACAAAATAAAATAAATGCCACTTGATTTTGGCCCTGTGAAGTATGAGGGTATTGAGGCACAAATTGGAGCAGTAGCCCCAAGAGTAGAGCCAGTGAGAGGCTGGTCTGGATGCTTCAGAGCTGATGGACTCTATTCATGTCTGATAGGGTTCCATGTGGGGAGAGGAAGGTATTCAAATTACTRATTAGTTCTTTTACTAATTATCATTCTTTTAAGCATTTTCTCTATCTTATATACAATCAACATTTTCTATACTTTATATACATCTAATCAAAAATTCTATAAATTTAAAAATTTTATAATTTTTTTAATACTCTTAACAATAATTTTTCTCGTACTAGGGATTAAACCCGAGGGTGCTTTACCAGCAAAACTGTGTCCCTAATCCTTGTTATATTTTGAGATAAAGTCTCACTAAGTTGCTGAGGGTCTTGCTAAGTTACTGAGGCTGGCCTTGAACTTGTGATCCTCCTGCCTCAGCCTCCCAAGTTAATGGGATTATGGGCATGCCTACTGCATTTGGCAGAATACTAGTTAACACCTTAAAGAAGGCAGAACCTCATAGAGCACAATGGTTCATATTGCTTGTTGGACATGGTGGGATATTCCATAACTGTCCTGATGTGGAATTCCAGTTCCTTCTAGTGGAGAACAGTATTGAATATCAAAATCTTCATGTGTGGGCCATGGAAGAGTTTGGGGTGGACAGAGGTGCTGCTGGGCCACTTCCCACTGTGACAGAATATTTGCTAGCTAAAGCTCATGAAGTTGGGGTAAGACTTACTGGTTTGGAAGGAGGGGGTGAGGCTGGTGGATGAAGTGGGGGGAAGGGGAAAGTAAAATAAGGGAGAGGAGAAGCCAATCAGTGTCCAGGGGAGGACTTGACCTTTGAGCTTGATCTTTACTGCTTTGTGTGCTGAAGGCCTTCAGCCCAGATTTTCCTAGGCCATGTGATTTTTGTCTAGGAAAATATGACTGAGCCTCCCTGCTGCCACTGTTCTCCCAGATAGTAAAATGCAATGATGGCACATTTTTAGAAAAGAAAATGAGAGGTGGGAAAGTGAAGTGGGAGCAGGGTGGTGACACTGTCTTTGGAGAAGTTGAGCAGCACAAGGAAGATCTTCCCATTCTCCCCTCTTTCCAGATCTTAAAAGGTATCTCGAAGGTAGTGGTGGGAGAATAAGTGTGGCCAATGGAGACAGAGCAAGGATGCTCCAAAGGGAGGCACAAGGTGATGAGGGAGCCCTGGGAAGGCAGGAGAGGTGGGTGCAGTATTGGCACTTGTCTGGGGAAAGCTGCTCACAAGTGGGGCAAAGGAGGTCACTGTTCCTAGGAGCCCAGGAAGGCAGGAGGCCCTGGGTCACTCTTAGCTTCCCTCCCTTGGAGTCTTGCTCCAGGCCTGGGTTGAGCCCTGGCTTAGTTGAACAACTTAGGGTCTCTAGGAAATGGTCTTGCCCGGTCCAGTTGGTTCTGAGCTCCTCTTCCCTCACCCATCTCCCTCCAGGGCTAATTCCTTCAGGGGGAAAACCCCTTTGGCCAGGATTGTGTCACAAACTGCTATATCACCATGTGTACACCACTGTGACCCAAGTGACTTACTAAACCAGAGGCTCAAGTGGTGGATCCTGGGGCTGGTGGGGTGAGGTGAAGCTGGGTCTTCTTATTTGGTCCCTTACCCAGCTCCAGGCCCCAACTCTCACTGTACCTTTCCTTTAGGGTTTTCTCCAGGGAACTCTGGGAGCCTCTGGGAACTTTTCCTTGTCTAAGTTCTTGCCTCAAGAATGGGGTAGAGGGAAACAGCAGCCAGGATGAGGCTCCTGGATAAGAGCCCTGGGCTCCGTGCTTTCCAAGCTGAGGGGTGAGAATGGGGTCAGGGAGAACAGGTCAACATGGGTAGTGACCCCTGACGTTTGGCCTATCACTCCCCAGGTATATGTCTGAAGCTGTCTGGCTGCAGATGGAGGAAGGGACCAAGTGGGATCCCAGGCAGGCTCTGTGCTCACCAAGATACTCCTCCCCACACCATCCCACAGACCTCCCTGGGCTTAGGTCTCCAGCTATGCATTTCTACATACATGAGCAGAGCCCCCCAGGGAGTGATGAGGCTGCAGCTTTCCAGGAGGTGAGGAGTAGCGAGCATGCATTGGGAGAGGGGTGTCTGTGGGTTGCACATGTGTTGGAGGAAGCCCCCAAAAGTCWTCTTGTCCCTAAAACTGAAACATATGAAGCTTAAGGAGTGGAATTATGGACCTGGAGGGTGCAGGGTCCAGGTCACAGAGCGTCAGAGGACATCCCAGGTGTCCCTGGATAGACAAAGAGAAAAGACTGCACCACTCACTTGCTGACTGGCCTTGGGCCAGTTCTTTAACTTTCTGTGTCTCAGTTTTCTCCACTATTAATAAAAACTGAGACTAGTCCAGTAGTGTATAAAGTTTTAAAAGAGATTCTTTTTATGGAAATTTTTACTTGAAGTTCCATGTGAAACATACAGAGTGGAACATTAGGAGAGCATTGAGGTCAATAACCCACAGTGGACCCCCTCAAGGGACCTTGCAGTGACTTGTGGTTCCAGCCCTCTCCTTTGTCCTGCCTCCAGGGGTCCAGAGACTTGATTGTGAGTACAGGATGGAGGTTAGGGAGAGCCCCCATGTACTGAGTTTAGCTTCTCATCAGCCCAATGCTGTAGTGGGAGGCCCTAAGGGGAGGCTCGGCCTCCCAATCACCCCATCACACACAGTGATGCCAGGACGTGCACCTGAACTTCATCTCCTGAGCCCCACATGGAGGCTTCTTTTGCCTGAGTCCTCACTCATTCCCTTCTTGGAAGTGCCAAAACTCCCAGGCCTGTTATATACTCATAAATTTTTTTTGTTTTTGTTTTTTGTTTTTTTGCTGCTTCCTACATCTTTTCTCCTTGTCTGTTCTAGGTTCAGAGAAGTGTGTTTTCTGGGGATGTGGGGAGGCTCTGAGGAGCTGGGACAGAGCTCTCCTGGAAGGGAAGAGAGTTGCCCTCTGGAGACCCAAGCTCAGGAACCAACACTGTTTGGATCTTTGACCTTGGGCAAGACACTTAGTATTTCTCTCATCCTTAAAATGTGACAACAGTAATAATCATAGAGTTGAGTGCAGGGGTGCCCATCTATAACCCCAGCTACTCAGGAGGCTGAGGCAAGAGGGTCACAAGTTGAGAATCAGCAGCTTAAAGAAAATTGTTTTGTGTCTCAAAATGAAAACAACCCCAAAAGTCCTGGGAATGTCAGTGATAAGGCAGCCCTGAATTCAATCCTCAGCAGTAGAAAAGAAAAGGGAAATTGACAATAGGCTTTGTGGGTTTTCTGTTTGTTTGAGATGGAGTCCCAGTATGATGGCCAGGCCAGTCTCGAACTCCTGAGCTCAAGCAATCCTCCTATATCAATGTGCTGAGTGCTGGAAGGCAGGTGTGCACCACTGGACTGGCTACAAAAGAGACTGCAAACCACATTTGGTGGTATATGAAAATTTCCAGCAATTCAGGAAACTGAGGGAGGAGGATCACAAGTTTTAGGACAGCCTCCGCAATTTAGCAAGACTCTATCCCAAAATAAAAAGGGCCGGGGATAAAGCTCAGTGGTAGAATGTCCCTGGACTCAACCCCCAGTACTGAGAGAAAAAAATTTCTCATTACAAGAAAAGTGTGAGTAATACRTATGTTAATTTGCTTGAATCAACACAAGTATACATATGAATATCACACTGTACTCCATAACTAAAGTTTTTGTCAATTAGAATTTTTTTTCTTTTGGCATTATGGGAAATGGAACCCATAGCCTGGCACATGCAAGGCAAGAGCTGTACCACTGAGATACCTATCTAAGATGCCCAGCCCTAAWTTTCTTTAAAAATGAACTCCTGTGTTTCTTTTCACTGTTTTATCGAAATGATCATGTCTCACAAAAAAATCACCCTTCTAAAGAGTACAATTCAGTTAGACTGTGTGCATGTATGACTATGAAACAAATCCCACTATTATGTACAACAATGCATCAATGAAAAATAGGGGGAAAACTATGATTCAAAGTCAGAATATCACCAATACCACATTCCAGAACACTTGCATTATCCCATTAGCAGTCACTTCCCATTCTCCCCTCTTTCCAGGTACTTGCAACTATTACTTTACTGTTTTTTTTCCATTCTGTATATTTTCAAGTTTATGGAATAAATTTATGAGGTCTTTTATATATGTGGCTTCTTCAAGATTCATCTGCATCAAAACATGTATCAGTATTTCTTTTTATGGTAGATTAATATTCCATTATATAGATAGATTTGGATATTTAGATTTCTGCTTTGGGGCTAACATGAATAATGGTGTTAAGATAATTCATATACAAGTTTTGTGTGTCTGGGGGCTGAGGGTGAAGCTCAGTGGTAGAGCAAGTGCTCAGCAAGCATGAGCTCTGGGTAAAATCCCCAGCAACAACAAAAAGTTTCTCTGTGCCTAGGGGTGTAGCTCAGTAGTAGAGTGCTTGCTTGCCTAGAAGAGGCCCTCCATTCCCAGCAACACATTTTAAAAAAATAAGAAAATGTTTTCTGTTTTGGTTCTATTTAAAATTTCAATCCACCCAGGATGTACTGTGGAACAGGATCTATTGACTTTCCTTCCAAACAGAACTATTCCAGTTGTTTCTCTTAACCCTTAATGTTCCATAATTCCACTGAAAAAATTTAGACTGATGTTTTAATCCTGATTGGTATGCACTATGCTTTTCTAATTTGGTTCCTTTTGCAGTACTGAGGATGGACCCCAAGGTCTCAGGCATGCTAGGCAAGTGTTTACCACTGAGCTACACCCCCAGCCCTAAGCCTTTCAATCTAAAGACTCATACTTTTCATTCTGGAAAATTTACCTTGTTATTTTCTTCAGTTTTCCTCCCATCATCTCCTGATACACCCATGAGAGAGAAGATAGAACTGTAACCTCTTCTTTAAAGTGAAAGAAGAAATGACACTTGACATGTAATCTGAATACAGAACCCTAAATTTTCATATTCTACCTCAAGTCTTTTAAAGTTGCCTTGTATAAGTGTAACTCAGTATTCATCTTTACAATAACAAATAGTGATAGTCATTAACAGTGTTCAACTTGAGTGAGGTATGATGGCCCATACCGGTAATCCCAGCTACTCAAGAGGTTGAGGCAGAAGCATTCCAAGTTTGAGACCAGCCTGGGAAAGACCATGGCTCCAAAAAATAAAAAGGGCTGGGGAATGCAGCTCAGTAGTGAAGTGCTTGTCTACCATGAACCAGGTCCTCAGTTCAATCCCAAGACCACTAGAAGTGGGGTGGGGGGAGCACTCAACTTGRTTTTCAAGGGAGTAATTTTCTTTTTATGTTCATTTCATCAATTTATGCAGTGCTGGCTAAAATTATGAGACTGCAATAAGTTTCTCATGAGTAAAATCAACTGAAAGGAGTGTGACAGTTATGGTAGAGCCAGCATTTAGCATCCCATGAAACTCAATTCTGGCTAATGCTATAGAAGTCAGTTAAAGGAGTACCTACTGTGCCTGCGGCCTTGCACTGTTTCCTATTCTGATTGCTGTATCAGGGCAAGGGGCTATAATGGGCTGTAGCTGTTGCTCTGCCCTGAATTACTTTCAGTGGGAGTGGTGATGTTTGGCAGGTATTACAGGGTTGGGGCAAATGTTCTGTCTCTTGTTCTTATAATTTTTATTTTAAAGCAGCTGTCCTCTTTGCCAATATGTGGCACAGGTTGAGATTTTCCAACTATTCAGGTTTTTAATATGGGTCTCCCCCTTTCATCCACTCCAGGAAATAATCTCCTACTGTATTCCCCCATCCTACACTGATTTTCCTTCTGCCCCTCTGGACCTTTCTTTATTTTTTGTCTTGTGGAMGCTTCTGAATTTCTCATGCACTCTCCTCRTTTTTGAGCATGAAGATACATGTACTTTAAATATATTTTTCATAATTTCTATGAAGTGGGGAGGAAGATCAGGTTCCCTCTTAAACCTGGAACTCTTATGGGTTTCTGACAAACATTCTTTACTATGTGAAAAACTGAAGGACATGTCCTTTGAATCCTAGTTGTTGTTAATACTGTCCTGGGCACTGAGTTACATCCCCAGCAATTTTAATTTTTTATTTTGAGACAGGGTCTTGCTAAGTTGCTGAGGCTGGCCTCAGATTTATAATCCTCCTGTCTCACCCTCCCAAATTGCTGGGATTACAGGTGTGCACCACAGTGCCTGGCTACTTCTAGTTTTCAAAAAGATTTAAACTCAAGAGGGAACCTGAGTCTTATTAACTGGCTTTTCAAGACTTAGAAAGATGCCATGATTTTTCTCCTTTAGCCTAACTAAAACAATAAATTACACTGTACATCACTAAATGGGTGTTCTGTAAGAATTCCTACTTCCTCAGGTCATGCTAGAGTTTTACTACATGACATATTCATATTTGGAAATGTTGTATTTATAAAAGCTGATCAAAATTTGTGGGCAAAAGCTATTTTTTCAGGTTTAAATATTATGGTTCTGCCAACCTTTTTTGTTTGTTTATTTAAAGAAAACTCATTTAATT